AATGGCCAAATATAAAAGGCTACAGACACCCTAAAAATGGCTCAGAGACGTCCAAAGTTGGTAACCAGAAAGTAAGGTCTTTATGAAAATTTGAAACCTAGTAAAAGGTTACCTCGGCAAAAACATCGCCTAAAAAATACTTTAGCATCTTAAAAATCTTCGGTCTCATCGAGGGTTCGAACTTCGAAGCCACAAGTAAACTAAAGTGGCATCGAAGTCTGGTTTTATGCTAAGGCATAAAAAACGATACGCTAGTAGAAATTACAAAAAGATACTAAAAAAGTAAAGACACAATATTTCTAGAAAGGGAAAAGTTTCATATATCCAAAATATATATACAAAGGCCCGATAGAATAGCCTGAAAGAAAACAAAAAAAATACATAAGAAAAAAAATAAAAAAATTGGAAAAACACTAAGGCATCTACGCATGGTCTTCATCGGAGCCCGACTCATCGCTAGAACCGTCGGAGACCTCAGAATCCTCAGAGCCTTCAGGACCCTTAGGCTCGTAGATCTCCTTTGCTTCGGCCTCGATCCTCCTAGCTTCTTTAATCTCGGCCTACAGGTCAAAACCTCGAGCGTGGATCTCTTCGAGGGTCTCTCTCCGCGATAGCCACTTTGTGTGTTCATTATTCGTCTTTAAATGGGTCTCAACGGCCTCCATATTGTCCTTGTATTGGGCCAACATTTCCTCGGCATCAACAGAGGTTGCATCCAGTTTGGACCTCAGTTTAGCATATTATTGCCCCGTTCTGAGATGGCCAAGCTCAGTTGTGCCAGGAGATTATCATTTAGCTGAGACCACTTATCGGCTTTGTCCTTTGCCAACCGGAGGTGGTTCTAGACCGATGCCAGCTTCGCCTTCACAGTTTCCTTCTTCGAAGCCAACAGGTCCATCCTGCCCTTCCACCCTTCGACCATGGCCTTGACCTCGTCTATCTTGGCTTGGAGCTGGTCGATTAGGTCTATCTTCTGTTGGACCTGTGAAGTTATGTCATTAGTCACCACGACTAGCTGCTCATTTTTAGCCTCAAAGATCTTTACCTTCTCAACCAGGTCGGCAAGCTCCCACTTCAGGGACGAGGCCTCTTTCTGAGCTTTTTCTAGCTTAACTCAGAGAATCAGGATGTCTTTAAGGGCCTCGTCCTGTTACTCACTAAGATCCCTGTACATGTCCTTCTTCCGGACCTGTTCTTTAAGCTCGAACTCGAGCTAGTTAACCTCCAAGCAGTACCAGATAAAGCTTTCATGATGAAGCACTAAAGCCTGAAAAACAATGAAGTTAGTAAAGGACATCAAAGTCTAAAGAAAGATTCACAAAGGCATACAAGGGGTTAAAATGCCTTACCCGGTTCAACGCCTGTTGTGCCTCATTGAAGAGGTTTGACGTGCCCACCTCTTTCATCTTGGCCTATTCCTCCTCGGTCACCAGGCATCGGATGTAGCTTGCTACATCCACCGAAGCAGACAAAACCCGAGAATCCTCTTAGACTGTGAGAACAACCATTCTTTTGCGCTCGGGGTCCACGCTCGGCGCAAAAAATTTCTTCACTAATCTTGGGCTCAAACTTGGCCTGCCAATGACCGAAGGCACATCTTGGGATATCCAGGTGACAAAGCTTGAAAAAATCCTCCAATGCGGCCATGTCCATGTCGTCGAAAAATGAGTTGAGAGGGTCATTTAGGCCTTGCGCTCTTTGACTTTTCTTTGCCCGCATGGGCCTCTTCGAGCATAGACTTTGTGTAGGAGGGCGTCTCCACAATGTCAATGACACTAGTCGCCTCCTTCGGGACGGGAGCAGCTTCCTGGGAGGCCGCAACCTCCATCTTCCCCTCAAGTTCTCGAGTTATAAGGGGATCGACCTCGAGGTCCTCTTTCTCAGTTGTCACTTTCTCCCTAGTAAGAGTTGACCCATGGGCGAAGAAGATGTCATCTTCTTCAGGCTCATCCCTGAGCCAGTATAGAAAGTCAGGGTTTGGTACCCTAGACTTGGTGTTCTTCTTGGGCTTCCGGACCCGGGTGACCGCTCTCTTCTTCCTCTTCGCCTCAAGATCTGGGGAACCGAGGACTTTTGTTTCCTCTTATTCTCCTCCTTCGCGGCAGCCCTAGGCTGTACCGAAATAGAGGGCCCAGCGAGTTAGGACATATCCTCGTCCTCATCCAGCGGCCCAAGTTCGGTGGTCTTAATAAAAAATGTTAGCATTGTGTCAATTGGGGGCACAATGGTAACTATTTAAAGAAGAAACTCACCATGAGAACAGGCTTCCCACTTGCCCTTCGAAAGTTTGTGCCATGCGCGATCAGAGTATGGCATCTACTTACAGATCCCTCCGATCCACTCCTTGAACCAGGGGATTGCATCAAGAACTTCGGAAACAACTGCACGGCCATAAATATAAGCAATAAGAGAAGGAATAAAAATAAGTTAATACTTAAGGAAGACGACACTTACGAGATGCGTTCCACTTCTCGGGGAACGACAGAAACTCAGGAGGGACCAGATCTTTGATTTTTACCTAAACAAACCTCCCCTGCTAGCCTCGATCTCGATCCTCATAAATGCTCGAGAAAGGGGCCTTACTTGCTCGGCGGACAGGCTTGATCAGCCCCCTCGAAATATTCGGGGGCTATATAAGCAGAGTAGATGGTCTAGGTTTAACTCTGGGTTGTCAGTATTGTTCACAAAGTAACGTAGAAGGATCACGATCCTCCAAAACGATGGGATCACGATCCTCTAAAACGATGGGTGATTAGTGAAAATGGGGTAAGTATAGACACTTAAGTACCTCTCCACGTGGGTAGCAATATCGTCATTTGGCCCAGGGATGACCACGTCTTTACCTTCCCAGTTATAGTCCTCTCGAGCTATGAGAAGAGTATCTTCTGTGACGGAGCATATGTCTCTCAATGCTCCCTCGCCTCGGTCTTGTTGACTAGAGGCCTTCTCGACTTTGAAATTATCCTCGATAGAGTAACTCCCGAGTATGAAGCTCTTCATGGAAGTCTCATGAGCCATCTGGGGGGAAGCCACCTCGACGCCCATGGCCGGATGGGAAGACGAGAGAGGCGCTTATCGCGGTACGAACTTGGAAGTTTTAGCCATCATGATATGGGAAAATATGAAGATTAGAAGGAAAATATGAAGACTTGACGGAGAATATGAAGATTCGAAGGAAAAATATGAAGATTTGAAGAAAAAATATGAAGGTTTGAAGGCTAGAGATGAAGATATGAAGATCTGGATTAGAAATCCAAGAAAAAATATGAAGGTTTGAAGGCTAGAGATAATGATATGAAGGTTTAAGAAGCGGACTATGGAAGTTTGAAAAAGTTAAAAACCGTTAGAAAATTCAAAGGTAAAGGCTAGGATCGGAAAGTGAAAGAAATGCAAAAGGTCGAAGTTTTTATAAGGAAAAATGGTCAATGCACGACGTTTCACATTCGAATGCAACCAGCTGGTGACTGACACGTGTCCAAAGTCAGAATGACGCGACTAATTAGACGTTTCGGCTTTTCCGTTACCTCGGTTGTAACGTACGAAGGAATCAAGATTAATCTATCATTTTCCATCGTTTTGGCAAACCTACTCTCCAAAAGAATGAGGAGATTATGTGTATATGGGTGAAATTGGGGATAACGCACACCCCAATTTCCCGGTGAATAAAACGAAAGTAAGAGTATGAACATACGAGATCGAAATCGAAGCTGGGAACTCTTTGTATCGAGGCCCGCGAAAAGTGAACGAAGTGCTCGCCAGCGGACCTGATAAAAGGATGCACCCCGGACTCGGGACGAGTTCTGAGACTTCGAAAAGTACAATGAACGGTTATACACGATGGATATAGGGTTGTGATATTTACAACCAACTAAATATCACGGCACGGATCTTGCTCGATGACGGTTACAGATCAGTTATTAATGAGAAAGGCAGATTTTTATCTTTTTTATATTTGTACTAGGGATGAAACTCTCCTACTATATAAGGGAGAGCTTTTCTTTGATAAGACACATTGTAACATGCAAATCAAGGCAATACAAATATATTGTCTGCTTTCTAGCTACTGCGCAAGTTCTTACTGAATTGTTTGTTCATCATTCATAATTGAGTTCGAATCAAGGATCCAATCGAGGGTAAAACCAATGTTCAACATAGATTTGGGTTAGGCCATAACATTGCATATGGTTTGGTCATTTATTTTGTCTTTAAATCGTTTATCCAATATTCTTGGTTATTTGTGTTGAATCAATCCATATATCCTTAAAATCGCATACAAATTTAATTGTTATCCGATTTTAGGGTAAACAGAGATAATATGAAACAATTTTAAATATCGAAACACACAAGCCACTAATTAAGAATGTAGTATAATTTGCTTTTCTCCACCATCAAATTGATTAGTAGACTACTTTCTTTTTCCTTTTTACAAGAGAATATTATTTAGCCTGAGTTCTGAATTTGTTTTATCTTTCTTGCACGTTTGAACGTCTTCCATGATAAGCATCAACTGATAATATAATAAAAATGATAACTAACATTTAATTTACACTATCAGATCAATTATATTAATACGTAAATGCCTCAACACTTCTTAAATATTATAAACATTAAAAAGTAAAATAGACTTGCCGAATATTAAAATTCCTTACAATGTCTGTTTTGAGGACTTTATAAATCTCAACACCAATAAGACAATTGGCAGACAAAGAGCGGATCTATACGTGAATATATGCATGGAATCCATCTCTTTTATTTTCTAAGTCCCACTATGATCGATGTAGATCCCTACAGATATATGTATCCTATTGCACAGCCCCACCACATAATTTCTATACTAGAAAAGAAAAAGTCGACATCTATATGTATATAAGTCCCTGTAGCTCACCCCTACTTCTATGGAAGTCCATATCAATAATTCGGAGTTCAATCCCAGTTAACATTTATATCTTCTTTATCAAATATAATACCCCGGTTGCACAACCTTGGACAAACAGAATACATAGCAATGACAATGACTTGGGAAAAATACCTTAATAGACTCTCCACATTACTTAATTATTAAACTTGGGAAAAATATCTGATTCTTTACACCTTCGTATAAAGACCAAACATTTTACCAAAGTACGTAGTTTGACAGCTATAATAAGCCCCACTTGTGCAACAAGTAGATTATGATTATTGATTAATTCCTGTTTAGGAGTTCCTCAATCATCTGCAGCGCCATTCGTTCTTCTTCATTCATGCCACGTTCTTCGCCTTCTAATTTCTCCACTGAAGTCTCTGGAATTGAAGTAGTTACTATATCTTTTTCTTGCTCCCCCTCTAGGGTTGGTTCGTTGTCATTTATTTTCTTTTTTCCAAGTTCAACAGTCATTACCCAGCTAGAATCAGGCCGAGCCCCAGCTCGCTTCTGCCACACTCCAATACTGGAACTCTCTGTGTCAAGCCTAAGGCAAGTGAGAGATGGAGAAGGCGATTTACAGCACTTTCGAAGTTTTGCGCTAAGAATAGCAGAAAGCGATGATGCTGATGACGATGATCCAGAGAATGACGAATTAACAATATTAGTGTTGTTGTCTTTTCCGCTTTCATTAGGTGCTGCCACTGGGAAGTTTGTTTTGGCATTACGTCCACTCATTAGAACAGCAGCCTCATCGTACGCTCGGGCCGCTTCTTCCGCTGTTTCAAAAGTTCCCAGCCACACTCTCCTCTTCCTACGAGCATAAAAACGATCAAATAGTCATGTTATCAATAATAAATGTGTTTCACGTAAAATTCCTATAAAGGTTGAACTCAACAACAACAACAACCCAGTATAATCCCACTTAGTGGGATCTGGGGAGGGTAGTGTGTACGCAGATCTTACACCTGCCCTGAGGTAGAGAGGCTGTTTTCAAATAGACCCCCGACATCCTTCCCTCCAAGAACTTCCCACCTTGTTCTTGGGGAGACTCGAACTCACCACCTCTTGGTTGGAAGTGGAGGTTGCTTACCATCAGAGCAACCCCTCTTTTTTCTTAAAGGTTGAACTCATGAAATTAAATGTTGCTTCCATGTATATTATCACGATGTATGGGATTAAAGGTAGTGGTACGGCGACGCATAGTGAAAATTTATGTGCATATTAAATTTAATAGTTGAATATCCAATCTAGGAAGGGTTGGAAAATAAAGAAAGAAGAGTGCGGGTGCATAGTAAAATACAGCAAAGGGTGACGAATCTCAGCAACCCAAGAACCCCAATGGCGTTGCCTGACACCTCTGAACTTCTTTGCCTGTACCATACTTGGAGTTAGCGGAGAGACACTGTCAGAGAGCTGATAGAGAAAGAGAGACTGAGAGAAAGTTGTACAGTTGAAGATGCCGAACTAGTTTACGAAGATGGATACATATAAGGGTCTGAATATAAAGGACAGTAGTAGTGGCATACTGGTATTACTTTGTTAATTAAGCTTTATACGAAGGTTGTGTGAGGAGCATTCAAGTAGAAAGTTAATGATTTATTTGAGACTAGTGATTTGTAGTTCAAAAATAATTAATACTATTACTGAAAGTCCCGTGGACCTCTCACTAGCCCACCACCATAGACAGTCCACTCTATAGCAGTAATATCTCTGCTTTAATTCCCTTTTAGTACCATATATATTTGAGGGTACTCTTTGGTATGGCTGCATGTGCAGAGTAAAGTGCTACCTTTTGATGGCGATTGGTGAGAATGAAAGTGAAAGACAAAGATGTAGTAGTAATATATAACTCGAAGCTGCTAGCAGGCCAGTCCAAAGAAAACTATTTCACCAAGCAGTTCCATCAAGTAAAGATAGTTTAATAGTGTGATAGACATGTTCGATCCTTTTACTTCACCTATAGGCATCTACACATTGTTATTTTTGTATTACACGCACTGACAGCTTCCTGTCATAAGCGTTTATTATACACGGTTTAATTTAAAGGAATGTAAGTATTCAATTGGCAAATTGTTAAGTTTGTGGATTTGTATGACAAAGTGACACAAGTATAGGTACCATTTAAGCTATTCTGTCTAAGTCATATGCGAACTTATTATCATATGTTAGTATTACTTTATTTTCGAGGTTATTATATTAAACTGATATGGAGAATTACGTATTGTTTTTAAGAAAATCAACTGAGTATTCATTTTATTGCTACCGGAAGAAGAGTACATTTGAAGGAGGGGTCAGACCTAGCCGAAATTTAATTTGAATATACATATATCCAAAAAAAAGTGATAATAAAGTTGGTGTATTTCATGGTGGCTTGAAAATGAAGATATTAAGCGGACGTTTGGACATAAAAATTGTAAAATTTCGAAAAAAAGTGAACAGATTGACCTAAATGACACTTATACTTGTCTCACTTTGTCATGCCGGTCCCCAAACTTAATAATTTTTCAATTGAACACTTACACTCCTTCAAACCGTGTATAATAAACCCTTATGACACGAGGCCGCCGGTGCGTGTAATACAATCTCCTACACGTAGGATGTCACGTCAAGAAAATTAAACCATGTAGGCTCCAGATCATTTATTATGGCCACATAGGAAAATAAAACGGAAAATGATTATTAATCCCCCCCCCCCCCAAAAAAACCCAAATTTCCCTCTCATTTTACACTTACCCCCTTAGATAGGGCTTAGAAAGTATGAACTACTTCTGTCTCTCCTCTCTTCTCCGTCATCATTGGCGTGATTTTTATGTCCAAAGCCCACTTAAATCCTATCTGCTTTTGCTTTTGTCATAAACAAGGGTTGTTGGTTTTTCTTTTTGAGATTTTTACATTCCTATGCCATATAGTAAACTACATTACCCTAAATGTTCATGTTTAGTAAATTACCCTACCTACACAAGTTTTGTTTACAAAATCTATACAATCCACCTTAAAAGGCTCTCAATCTATTATTTGTGCCTTCAATCAAGGGATGTAATTACACCCTTTTTATTTTTTTCTCTCCTCTTTCCCCTTTTCTCTCCTTATCTTCCACCCACACTCCAAATAATTTTTTGCGTGACTTTTAATAAATATATCTTCAATATGTTTTCTTTATCTTAACATTATAGTATGTGGATAAACATCTCTTAGTTTTAGGTTTACAAAGTCTTTTTCTGCCAACTACTAAACTATACTTTAAATCTTTTGTCAGTTTGGACGCAATCATACGCTGGGACATCCTTTCGAATCTCGACTTTTTCTTATTAACATTAATTAATTAATTAGCTCACTTAATAACTATTCTAATTGGGCGTTGAGATTATCTGCCCAAATAGTCTCTAGGTTTGATATTATGAATTCTNTATATATATATAACAAATCAAATCTTAGTACCTGTTAGATTTTGCAAATGAAAAAATTTGAAGACAGAGAAATACTGCAAAAAGACGTATTTAGGATCATATAAAATTGTGAAACACTAACGTTCTAACGACATAAGATATTTAAATGCTAAAGAACAATAGAAAACTTATATTATGAGGACCTTTAATTCGCTTGTGTTTTACACTATAAACACTAAAATTGAGTTTTTACGCCGTCTGATAATTAAAATGGTCAAATCATGAATCCAGCTTACTGGATATTAGACAGTACTAAAAAAACAAAACCATTAGCATGTTGTTTGAACTTAAATATAAATTTTATACAAAATTTATACAATAGGGTCTTTTGTCTATTTTGTATCTAATTTATACATAGTAAAAATAAATTCATACAACTAATTATATATTATACAATCTATCTATAACTTATCTACAATTTTAATACATTATTTCTACTCAATTATATACAACTACAATATCGTACAACTTAAATATAAATTTTATACAAAATTTATACAATATGTCTTTTGTATATTTTGTATCTGATTTATACACGGTAAAAACAAATTTCATACAACTAATTATATATTATATAATTTATCTACAATTTATCTACAAGTTATCAATAATTTTCTTATATTATTTCTACTCAGTTATATACAACTACAATATTNATATATATATATATATATAACATAATACAATTTTTCTACAATTTTCCTACAATTTTACTACAATTTCATAAATATAATGTATATCATGTCCTCTTCTTCGAGTTTCAATCTGAAATTCAGCCAAAATCAAGTGTAATCTTCACCGAAACACCCCTAAAATTGAGATATAAACTCCAAACCATATTCCAAATTGTTTGCAACAACACCCAATCCAAACAAATAATGATTTTTCAAAACCTAAATTCGAATTCAAAGCTTCAAAGCTTTTTAATGGCTGTCAATGGTGGAATTGCTGCTCTCTTTCTCTTTGTTTTATATTACTGAAATTAGGGATTGAGAGATAGCGAGAGACGTTGAGGGAATTCCCAATTCTTTGCAATAACACCTAATTCAAACAAATAAGTTTTTTTTTTTTGTGAATTATATAATAAGATGAAAAGTTCAAGTTATGTTATTTTTAAATTAGAAACGTGTCATTCATGTCGGAATGAACTAATTAAAGAAAAAAAACTAAGGTTGTATCTATAATTTTTAATATTTGTTTGCTTGTGCTTAAAGCCTTAAACTAGAAAACGGTGAAAAAGAAAAACAAACAAAAATAGTATTAAATAACAGTCTCCTTATACTAGAGGTCAGAGGACCTTTATCGGAATTTTGAAGTTCACAACTGTTATGAGACAAAAGAAAAAAGAAGCCAAAAATAATGGAGAATTATGAAATATTTTTTTCTTGCGATGACTAAATTTGAAAGTGAGGAAAGATTTAGAGTGATACGCGGGGAGGGTGATACGTGGGGGAGGGGATATGGAGAGAGAAACATGGGGTGTGGAAGATACGTTACAGTAATTTTAGGATATTAATTATTATCATTAATTCCTTTAAAATGTACATAAATGGTAACTGGGTATATAAAATGTAATTATAGTAAAAATCGAATAGGGGGATAATATAGTTTCATATAGTGTATAGGAATATAAAAATCTCTTCTTTTTTTTTTGAAAATGGAGGAAAATCAATGGCGGAACAGAAAGTGGCTCAGATCTAAGAAAATCAATGGTGGAACAGAGAGGGACTCTTTTGAAAATGGAGGAAAAGAGCCTGTAGGTTTGCACTTAAGAAAATAACCTTCCAATTGAGGCTCAGATCTATAATATTGAAGACATGGCAAAAAATTGGAGACACTGCCATGGCTGCAAACACCGATTGCAAGTCGTCACTGTCCGGGTCGCCCCAGCAAGTTACGGCTCCGATTGTTCCCTTGCCCTAATTAATTTGCTCAAAGATAGAAGAAAAAACTATCATCACAACCTCAGATTTTTGCTACAATTATTATTCATTCTTATTTTAATGATTTTTGGTTCAAAATGTTCCTATTCATGCTCATTATCTGTGTGAATTACATTCACTTTGTCCAACTCAACTATTATTTTGCCACATGTGCTTGATCAATGGTCAGAGAGGTTTAAATAATAGGCTTTGATCAAGTTAAAGTGTTTGGATGAAAATAAGTGAAGTATGAAGACCGACATGATAAAATGGGACAAGTATAGGTGCCATTTAGGCCATTCCGCCTTTTTTTTCCCCAAGTAAATATGGTATTGAAAATTGGAGTTGTGTTTAAACATGAATATAATTTTGGACTGATTTTAAAATTTTGTGAGTAGTCTAAAATAATTTTTTTGAAAAATAGCTTATTGGAGTTTTTAAAATTTTTAAAAAATTTTGCAAGTGAAAATCAAAAATTTTATGGCCAAACACTAATTTCGACAAAAAAAAAAATTATTAAAAATATAGTATTCTCATATCTATCCGTATTTAGAAAACCTCTAATTTGCTTGGTAAAGTGTCAAATCGTGTGTAAATGATATCAGCAATGTTGTGGGCCTTGTGGCTTAGGCCATCTACAACCTTGCCCCCATCCTCCGTAACGGGGGAAATATTTGGGGAAATTTAGCTCCAACCCTTTCTCATTTTTGTTCTCAAAATGGGGGATGAATAGTGTTCCCTCGAATATGGGGTACACTATTCACCTTCCCCATTATTATTCATCACTTTTTTTTATTATTATTTAATCTTTTAATTTATCTCTTTATATATGCCTAATTATGTTTATGTAATGCATTTATAATATTAATATTATATCTTAACTTTGGTGTATAATTTTGATAAATTAATTTTCGTGCGTTTATTATTTTTATGTAGAAGTGGCAGTAGATGAAAATCAACGATTTCAAGAATTTTTATTTCGACATAGAAGAATTAAGGACAAAGATGCTCATTTTGCACTTCGTAATGCATTAATAGATCATTTATGGGAGAATACTAGAGGTTGAAGTTGAATATTTATCTAGTATTTCGAATGAATTTTATCATCATGTAATATGTATTTAATTAATCTTGTATCACAATGATTTCACTTTTATTTGAATTATTAGTTAATCTATAATAATTGCTTACAAATTATATTATTTAAAATTTCATGGAATTGTTTAATTATGGAAATTATAAATTAATAAAAATAAAAGATGGAATTTGTTTAATGAAAATTAAAAAATAAAATTGAAATGAAAGATAATAATATAATATAGAAGAGAGAGAAGAATATAAAAAAGTTTGGAGAAAAAATAGGAAAATGGTTGGAGTAAGTTGTCCCCAAAATGGGGAAATGACCAGTCTATCCATAACCTGATTAGCCTCCCTGAAACAATGACCAGTGATAACATCTCTTGTTATATGTCTAATTTAACTTGATAATATAAAAATTATTTACAAAGTC